TTGCCAGGCATGTGCAACTTGGAAGTTGGTGTTTGAGCTTTTGCCCAAAGCTCTCGAAGCTTTCCCGAGTCCAAAGTGGAGCTTCAAAGCTTTCGGATGCTCCCTGCACCGGGGTCTGGGGCCGGAACACGTACGGGTTGGAAGGGCTCGGCGGAGGCCGGGGAGTGGAGGTGGGGGCCGGGGCTGGGGCCAGGCCCTGGGCGCGGCGCTGCAGCAGATGCCGCGGCTGCAGGAATTGCGGCTCAACGAAAACCAGATCGGGGTCAAGGGCGCCCAGGCGGGAAGGGGAAGGGGGAAGTTTGAGGGGGCGAGGGGGGAATGATACAACTCCCAAATCAGGAGTACAGAGAAATTGACGATTCATGACACCCGCGAGATTTCAACATGTCAATCTGCTCCGTTGCAAGAAGATCATTGATTTGGTAGTTTTGCCGCGCCAGGCGGGGGTCGGTGAGCTCTGCTTTTGGCACAGAAGAATGGTTTGCCAGTTGTGGATGTGCCTTGTCAGTTGCATCTGGAAAGGGCGATGTCAACATGGATTCTGTACGGTTTACGTAACGATGTCCAGCGCAGGCTTCTTGAAAGCAAGCGCCTGATGCTTGTTCAAACATCCAGCTGAGCTTGCCTAACTTCGTAGTCATTGCTTCCCAGGGCAAACAAGGCACAGCCTCAAGACCTGCGCCGAGCACCGTCCCCGCAGGCACTGGCCCGCGGCCTGGAGGGCACCACTGCCCTGGAGCTGCTGTGGCTTTCGGAAAACCAAATTGGCGATGCCGGCTGCGAGGCCTCCACGCACCGCCGGGCCATTTGAACTCTCTCGCTGCCAGGGCCACCCTTCCCCAATCAGCCTTTCTTGCTTCAGTTGGCTTTGGATGCCGAATTTCTAGATGTGTGGCTGGGAGTTTCGCTGGAGTGGGAGCTAAGCATCAAGTGTCCGTGCTAGTGGCTTCGGTGTTGTTTGGGCCGTAGCGGCTTTCAGTTTCGGACGGTAGAGGAAGCGCATTTGTGGTTTGCGAGTTGCAGACACTGCGCCAGGTTTGCCAGATGAATTGCCATGTTTGTTGCATCAGTTGTTTTGTTTCCGTAGGTGGGCGCATTGTGGCTTGGGATCCTTGCAGTTTGGAGCGTAGAGAATCCTGGAGCCGTGTTTGCAAGCTTTGATGGCAAACAATTGGTCCACAGAAGAATTAGATGTGACCGTTTCAAAGCGCATGTTTGCTCGCGATCAACTGTTCAACCCCCAAGACTGTGCCACTACGCGCGAAGGTTCAATCTGAGAGCGAGGGAAGGGTTGATGACGGGTCTGTGTGTTTGTTTGCTTGATTGTGTTGTTTGATAGTTTGTTTGTTTGTTTGCTTGTTTGTTTGCTTGGTTTGTTTGTTTGTTTGTTTGTTGCTTTGTGTGTGTGTGTTGGTGTGTGGGAAAACACCAAGTTTTGCATTGTTCACTTGGCTTTCAATGTCAAGATTTGATTTGCACCAATCGTTTTGTCGCTAGGCGGGGAGACGGCGCGGATTTCCATGCACTTTTGTATCGCTAGCGCTGTCCATTGACGGGTCGCAGATGATGATGCACATCTTAGGGTTCGAGTTCCAGGTGTGCCGTATTGATTTGCCATGGTTGTCACACACACACATACACAGAGTTGTCATGTGTCTGCAAGTGGGCTTACTGTGCCAGTGTTGTTGGTTTTTTGCAATCTGGAGTTTAGCGACCTTTGTTGCCACAGCATTCTGATGAGCTTTGATCGCAATGAATTCACAGAAGAGCCAAAGGTGGGGATTGTCATAACTAAATATTTCTCGGCCCCTATGTTGCTTCCAATCAGGTCCGCCAAGTGCTGCTATTTATGGTGATGATAGGTCTTGCGTCTTGCGTTGTTCATTTCTTGCATGCATGTGTGCTCTGCTGGTGTGTGGGTCGGTTTGAGGTAGCATGTTAGTCTGAAGAGAAGGGGACACGAGTTTGCTTATCGTCGACTAACTTGCCCTATCCTGGAACACTGCTGTCGTGAACTCAATCATTATCGATCTGAAGTATCTAAGAATCTAAGAGGGGAATTTGTATTGCCCCCCCCCCCCCCTGTATCTGAGAGGGGAATCAGATTTGCCCCCCCCCCCCAAACATAAGGTGTTCTTTCGTAGGTTGAGGGAGTTGGTGCAGGAAGTGGCTGACGGATCCCAACATGCTGCACCTCTAGGTCTAACACAAAAAGCCTCAGGTTGGCCCTTCCGTTTTTTTTTCTTTCTCGAATCAACTATGATGCGCTTTGAAGGTTGGGGTGGTTGGGTGACGCTGCCCGTTTAGGTCATCGATAGCAGGCCCGCACCTCATTGGAAGAAGCTGTTGTTCTGATTGGAACCTAGTACATGATGCCCTTCCACACTGCTGAGCGTTCAGCTCTGTCCTGCGTAATTTTTGTTCGATTCGCCCTTTTTACCAAGTCTTTAAAGGGTGCGTCTGGGGATGGTGTGGGCGCTGTTTGTTTTCCAATTTGTTCATGGGATGTCACAGGTGGGATACAGGTTGAAGCATTTGCGCAAAA